CTTCGCCGTGGATCACCTGTACCTTTCCCACGACCAGTACCTGCTCTCAGAGGAGGAGACGCCAGTCGCAGAAGGTAAAGAGACAGCCATTGTTGGTTTGACGACTTCTGTACGTCCTGATCTCACCTGTGCTCACCTGTGCTGGCAGACCCGGAGGCGGGGCGGGATGTCCTGCAGCTGGTTCAGTGCCTGCGGCTCATCAGCGACGCCGTTTCTGCAGAGATGGCGTACGAGATGGAGAAAGCTCTGGAGTACCTGCAGGCGCCCGAGAGAGCGGCCGAGCTCGTCCTGGAGAACCTGCTGTGCAACGACAGGTGGGTCACATGACCCGACGCACTTGTTTTAACTTTAAGTTGTACGTTAAAGAAATCCTGATGAGCAGGAGCTCAGGTGTGCTCACAGGTACAGAGCGTCTCACTGATTCCTGAGCGGTGGGGGGTGAAAGGTCACATTGAGGAGATAATCACTGAAGCTTCCAGTACATCCTCAGGAAATAAGAGAACTGGATCCTTCAGTGAGCGCCGCACTTCCTGTCCTTCGGTGATGATCAGGGGGAGGAGCTAAGCGCAGCAGTGTGACTTTGTTTTCACGCGTCAGACTGTCAGAGGGCCGCGGGCTGAATTTGTCGGGGTTACTGATGTAAACACGCGGCGTCTGTCCTCCACAGCGATAACGTGATCGTGGACGTCCAGAACAAACTTCAGGATGTCAGAAACCCGACGGCCGCTATGATGGTCCTGCTGAGAGAGATGGACCTGGAGACGGACTCCGAGGTCAGCGCGGACGGACTCGTGGCGCCCGGTAATACCCTCTCGATGAATGAAAGCGCGACCGTGCCGTCAGTCGCTTCAGTGCGCCCTGCGCCTTGTCTTGCAGGTCAGAGCCTGAACGTAAGGATCGGCCTGTCTCAGCTGTACAGCGGCAGCGCGGCGGTCTCTGTCGTCTCCCAGGCCGTGTGTCACGTGGCCATGACCAGAGCGCTGTTCTGCAGAGACCTGCTCATCCTGCAGAAGCTCTACCTGCGCTTTGGAGACAATGTACGTGCACGCACACACACACCTGATCGTCTTCCTCCTCAGTGTGTTCATGAGCCACACCTGTGTTTGTGTCCAGGTGTTTCTGGGTGGGGGGGCTCAGCTGCTCCAGCTGCAGCAGGACCTGATCCCTCGGACCTCGCAGCTCCTGTCCTCCTATCATCTCCTCAAACACGTCAGCCAGAGCCTCGCCTCCTCCGTGCCCATCAGCACCATGTGAGTACACGCAGCACACACGGCTCTCAGGTCCGTAACCACGCTGAGCACTTCCTGTTCTGATGTTTCAGAGACGCCAACCTGCAGCACCTCACCGTGTTGGAGCTGTCGGACACGCCCACCATGACCTCTGGACGATCAGGTCTGCTCTGTTTAGCTTTGATTTCTGCTGTGACGTCAGGGACGACGTCCTGGTCCGTGTGGTTTTTAAAAGTGTGCGTTTCCTGTCCCGCCCCCGCAGCTCTGAACCCTCAGACCGTTGTGGAGCTCTTCTATCAGACGGCGGCTCGCCGACTCATCGTGTCTCAGCTGTTCTCGAACCAGCAGGGCGGCGCTCTGCTCG